GTACACTCAACAGACTTATCCCCCTATAATTTTTGCACTCTCTTTTATCCCCTTGCCTTTATACAAAGGAACTATGCATGCTCTCTGCCAATCCCTAGGTACCTTACCCTCTTCCATACATTTATTAAATAATTGCACCAACCACTCCAAAACTATATCCCCACCTGCTTTTAACATTTCTATCTTTATCCCATCAATCCCGGCTGCCTTACCCCCTTTCATTTTACCTACTGCCTCACGAACTTCCCCCACACTCACAACTGGCTCTTCTCACTCCTACAAGATGTTATTCCTCCTTGCCCTATACACGAAATCACAGCTTCCCTATCTTCATCAACATTTAACAATTCCTCAAAATATTCCTTCCATCTTCCCAATACCTCTAACTCTCCATTTAATAACTCTCCTCTCCTATATTTTAACTGACAAATCCATTTGTTCTCTAGGCTTTCTTAACTTGTTAATCTCACCCAAAACTTTTTTCTTATTTTCAACAAAATTTGTTGATAACATCTCACCCACTCTCTCATTTGCTCTCTTTTTACATTGCTTCACCACTCTCTTAACTTCTCTCTTTTTCTCCATATACTCTTCCCTCCTTGCATCACTTCTACTTTGTAAAAACTTCTCATATGCTAACTTTTCTCCCTTACTACTCTCTTTACATCATCATTCCACCAATCGCTCCTCTTCCCTCCTGCACCCACTTTCCTGTAACCACAAACTTCTGCTGAACACTCTAACACTACATTTTTAAACCTACCCCAACCTTCTTCGACCCCATTGCCTATGCTCTCATAGCCCATCTATCCCCAATAGCTGTTTATATCTTACCCTAACTGCCTCCTCTTTTAGTTTATAAACCTTCCCCCTCTCTCTTCCCTGATGCTTCTATTCTCCTTGTATCCCATCTACCTTTTACTCTCAGTGTAGCTACAACTAGAAAGTGATCTGATATATCTATGGCCCCTCTATAAACATGTACATCCTGAAGTCTACTCAACAGTCTTTTATCTACCAATACATAATCCAACAAACTACTGTCATTTCGCCCTACATCATATCGTGTATACTTATTTATCCTCTTTTTCTTAAATATGTATTACCTATAACTAAACCCCTTTCTATACAAAGTTCAATCAAAGGGCTCCCATTATCATTTACACCTGGCACCCCAAACTTACCTACCACAACCCTCTCTAAAAGTTTCTCTACTTTAGCATTCAAGTCCCCTACCACAATTACTCTCTCACTTGGTCAAAGGCTCCTATACATTCACTTAACATCTCCCAAAATCTCTCTCTCTCCTCTGCATTCCTCTCTTCTCCAGGTGCATACACCTTATTATGACCCACTTCTCGCATCCAACCTTTACTTTTAATCCACATAATTCTTGAATTTACACATTCATATTCTCTTTTCTCCTTCCATTGTATACAGGAGAAGGGGTTACTAGCCCATTGCTCCCGGCATTTTAGTCGCCTCATACGACACGCATGGCTTACGGAGGAAAGATTCTTTTCCACTTCCCCATGGACAATAGAAGAAATAAAAAAGAACAAGAGCTATTTAGAAAAAGGAGAAAAACCTAGATGTATGTATATATATATATGCATGTGTGTGTCTGTGAAGTGTGACCAAAGTGTAAGTAGGAGTAGCAAGATATCCCTGTTATCTTAGCGTGTTTATGAGACAGAAAAAGAAACCAGCAATCCTACCATCATGCAAAACAGTTACAGGTTTTTGTTTCACAGTCATCTGGCAGGACGGTAGTACTTCCCTGGGTGGTTGCTGTCTACCAACCTACTACCTATCCACGCTTAATATCAGTGCATAATACATGTTGATTGTTAACCCTTTGAGGGTTCAGACCCACCCAGTCTGAAAATTGCCCACAGGGTTAAGAATTAAAAAAAATATGAAATGGTAGAGATTCTTTTTCTGAAGGTAATAAAACAAAAAGTACAACATTTGATAAAAATTTGACAAAATTACGGTCTTGCAAATTTTTCTGTATCAGCATTGTTTATGTATCGGCAATTTGGCACACTTCGAGTTCTATTTTTGGCCAATTACATTTTTCCATTAGACCATATTCTTGGCTATTTTGCTAGTGTGTATTCCATTTTATCTATTGAGCCCAAGAAATTGCACAATCAACTATTTCAGCTACCCAATAAAGTAATTGGAAATTGATAATTTAGCTAATTTCATGCAGTTCAGAATATTCCAATTTCAAAATAGGGCCCAGAATAAACAATACAGGCATTCCTGGTACTAAAATAACATTTTCTCTGTTTATTAGTTATGTTTCCAAGCTTAACAGATGAATTCCATTTTGATTTTTTATTCAGATAAAGAATTTTTATTCATGCCAAAACATAGAAGATTTACTGTTGTACAGTACTGTAATATTTGTATAAATAATATCAGCACCTGTGTGAACACACATTAGATCCACCAGCCGACGTGTATTGGACTCGTGATATGATTTGTTTACTCTTGAACATTGGCAAAAATTAAACACTTGTGCTAATTTTAACTCACTCTCAAGCTATTTTCAGTAGTAAAACCAGTCAAAATCGTCTCTATTTCTCTAATATATCTTCTGTTCCATCAAATGAGACCAAGCAAGCGCAAATACACCACAAAATTGCTGTTTTAATCCATAAACGAGGTTGCAGTTTTTTCTAGTGCACTGCATGCTGCAGGATTTGTTTTATATGGTGCACACTTACCACATAGGTGCATTCTCTCATATCTAGGCCCAAATTTACTGCTCAAAGCTTATCTGAGTGAGCCGAGCTCATGACGTAGTACTACGGCTTGGACCCTGGCTTCAAAGCCGTAGAACTACGGGAAGGACCCTCAAAGAATTAAGTAACGTATGTCATGTGGTTCTTCAACCTTAAATATCCAAAGTGTTGATCATAAAATTTCAGAAAAATCTTGGATGCTAAACTAAACAAGCTCAGATTTGTGATCATTGCATCAGTTAGCTAAAACAATGTATTTGGTTACCGAACTGGATAAAAAGTTAAGTTTTGTTGGCTAGTGTGATTAAAAAAAATTGGATGTATTTTGGTGAGTGAATATTAAGTAGGCAGGCATGATTTTTCTATTAAATGGATGTTACCATTTCAGAGTTTTCAAATAAATTTAGAATTGACATTGCATATAAAGACTACTTACTGTATATTAAATCATTATAGAGGCTTTACAGATTTGCAAAAAAGCTATGAAGTATTAATTTGATAGCAAATTTTTAGCAATAATGTTTGAAAGTATTCTTCTTAAGAAGTAAATTAGCTATGCCTTGTCACATTAAAGGGTACATTATTCCACCATGTTCTTTCACTTACTATATCTTTTCATTTCTTTTTCTTTGCTCCCCTTCCTAGGCCTTTGTTGTACCTTCTTCTCATTACATTATTTGATCATAGTTGCTAAGGCAGTCCTCATTCTTAATTGTATTTTTGTTAGTTGAAGAATGAGACACTTGTGCATTATTTGGAAAGCTTTATTGTGGAAATGTTTCACTAGTCATTGGCTTCAGTCCAATACAGAGAAGAATGGTGGAAGGCAAGTAGTAGTTTGAGGTAATCAGTCCCTCAGCTTGGCATCGACTCCAGGCTGTATTGGACTGAAGAGGCCACTGGTTGGCAAAACGTTTCCACAGTGAAGATTCCCAAATATTACACGAGTGTTTCATTCTTGAAATTGTCAGTTTTCTGAATCATTTAAATCACATTTTTGTTAGTGCAAGTTGTAGGCAAGTTCTTTGTACATAAACCAGGTTGTGCAGTTGTGTACAGTATGTGTAACCAGGCTGTGCAGTTCTTTGTACAGTATGTGTAAACCAGGCTGTATAGTTCTTTGGTAAATATTTCTAGTGTTCTTTCAAGTTTTAGTGCTTGAAAGGAAAAGTTCATAGTATGTACAGCATTTTGGACAACTTAGACAAGGCAAAGGCTAAAACTACTTGATACTTAGAGACCACATTTATGCAATCTTTAAGCTTGCAAGTCTAGCACAGTAAATTAATAATCATATAAATTTTGTTTGCAAAATTTATTATAACTAAAAATCCTTATCCTGATAAAAAAAAAAAAAAAATATGCTTAGCATCATTCTGGCAGTCATGGGAATGAGGATGCAATGTCTGGATACAAGTGGTGCTACATATATAATAAAAAGGCATGTATTACCAGCAGCTTTTCTAGTAAAAATAGAAGCTGCTGGTATACTTTAGTAATGGCTTAAGATAACCAGCAAATGCATCACTAGCAAATACTGTAATCATGTTAGCTTGCTTCATAGTGTAAACACATCAAATGGTAATTATTGCAGAAGCATAAATACCTATTTAAAACAATGAACATTTTATGCATATTATACATTGTACATGCTATATTAGATTGTATAAAAATTCTTAACCAGGCTTAAAACTGCAGATCTCGACACACCAACCACCATGGTGGTATAAGTACAGTTCTCACTCATGCAGTTTGAGGATTAAGGAAAAAATTTGTATGAAAGCTGGATGCAGATAGTCCTGCATAAACATGAAGGGCTTGTTTATCATACAGAAGTTAACTTTAGTTTTCACCTTATATTCTTACTAATACAGGTTCTATGATTATTTTTTCTTAATTACTTCATATTAATAGGTTTTATTAATGAGTTTTATCTACAGAAAACTGTCAACGTATTGATAGAATATGTTAACATTTACATGTCTTTTGTCAGTATTAATTTTTTTCTATAAAATACTTAAAATCTATATATATATAAAACTAAGACTTACATTCTTGAAGTGTATCCGAAAGCATTTCAGTAAGACACTCATTCAGCAACATTGGATAATGTTTCAGCTAAACATTTCAGTATTCTTATCCTATAATATCTGAGCTAGACTATTTACACGTTAACACAGTCTTGGGTACCTCAATTTTGGGATTATGGCTGAAACTTATTACTGGGCCCCTCCCTTCCTTCAGGCCTCAGCCCCTGTCAAGTCCTCCACAGGCACTGTCAACGGTACTGGGACACGTGCCATCTCTGTTTCTTCAAGGTAAGACTTGTGAACATAGAATTTTTTTTGCTTCTTATTGACATACAACGCTTTGATCAAACCTTCAGAATGCATTTTTTTGCAATTGCTTACATATAAATTTTATGTGACAATATATTTGCTTGCTATAATTTTTCAGTCATGACAAAACTTAAAACGTAGAAGCTGAAAAATGAAACTGAATAAAGAAAGGGAAATTTCTTGGACTTCCAGGAGAATATAAGCTATAAAATTTACAGTCAAGTTTGATAGTCTTGTAAGGATGTAGTTTTTACTACATGGATAGGGTAAAGAAAACTAAAGTGGAAACTGTACTCTCAAATATTAAAAGTGGAATAAGTTGGGTCACAATACAGGTGAGAGTCCATGCACTGTGAAGAGGGGCAAGACTAAATTAAAAATGTCTACCAAAAAAGTCTTTTACAAGTAAAAAAAAAATAAATTTTGGAATATTGAAGTGCTTGTACGTGTAGTGTGTGTATTCTGTCTGCTCTGGAGATGGAAAGTAATATTGTGTGTATATATACATTGGACATGCATAATTCATGTTGGTTACATTCCTGAAAACTGTGATTTATGTGACTTATGGATTGAAAACGCATGGGGAAAATTGGGTTGAATTCCTCAGATCTCCAAAAAAAATCCAAACAGTTTTTTTTTTGCTATCATACTTTTTCAAAAATAAAGAAACAAATAAAAATATTATGTAAGGGCAATGTGTGGTGTAAATATTATGCAGAAAATTCTGAGTGTGGAAATTAGGAGGTGTGGAGTTAAAAGTACAAGTCAGAGGACTGAAGAGGGGTTGTTCAGGTGGTCTGGTCATATAGAGAGAATGGATCAAAGTAGAATGACATGGAGAACGTATAAATCTGTAGGGAAAGGAAGGCGGGGTAGGGGTCATCCTCGAAAAGGTTGGAAGGAGGTTTTGTGGGCGAGGGGCTTGGATTTCCAACAGGCGTGCGTGAACGTGTTAGATAGGAGTGAATGGAGACGAATGGTATTTGGGACCTGACGATCTGTTGGAGTGTGAGCAGGGTAATATTTAGTGAAGGGATTCAGGGAAACCGGTTATTTTCATATAGCCGGACTTGAGTCCTGGAAATGGGAAGTACAATGCCTGCACTCTAAAGGAGGTTCGGGATATTGGCAGTTTGGAGGGATATGTTGTGTATCTTTATACGTATATGCTTCTAAACCGTTGTATTCTGGGCATCTCTGCAAAAACAGTGATTATGTGCGAGTGAGGTGAAAGTGTTGAATGATGATGAAAGTATTTTCTTTTTGGGGATTTTCTTTCTTTTTGGGTCACCTTGCCTCGGTGGGAGATGGCCGACTTGTTGGGAAAATATAATATATATATATATATATATATATATATATATATATATATATATATATATATACAGTGGACCCCCAGTTAACAAACTTTTTTCATTCCAGTAGTATGTTCAGGTGCCAGTACTGACCGAATTTTTTCCCATAAGGAATATTGTGAAGTAGATTAGTCCATTTCAGACCCCCAAACATACACGTACAAACGCACTTACATAAATACACTTACATAATTGGTCGCATTTGGAGGTGATCGTTAAGCGGGGGTCCACTGTATATACTTTTAGAGAGGGTGTGGTAGGTAAGTTTGGGGTGCCAGGTGTAAATGATAATGGGAGCCCTTTGATTGAACTTTGTATAGAAAGGGGTTTAGTTATAGGTAATACATATTTTAAGAAAAAGAGGATAAATAAGTATACACGATATGATGTAGGGCGAAATGACAGTAGTTTGTTGGATTATGTATTGGTAGATAAAAGACTGTTGAGTAGACTTCAGGATGTACATGTTTATAGAGGGGCCACAGATATCAGATCACTTTCTAGTTGTAGCTACACTGAGAGTAAAAGGTAGATGGGATACAAGGAGAATAGAAGCATCAGGGAAGAGAGAGGTGAAGGTTTATAAACTAAACGAGGAGGCAGTTAGGGTAAGATATAAACAGCTATTGGAGGATAGATGGGCTAATGAGAGCATACGCAATGGGGTCGAAGAGGTATGGGGTAGGTTTAAAAATGTAGTGTTAGAGTGTTCAGCAGAAGTTTGTGGTTACAGGAAAGTGGGTGCAGAGGGAAGAGGAGCGATTGGTGGAATGATGATGTAAAGAGAGTAGTAAGGGAGAAAAAGTTAGCATATGAGAAGTTTTTACAAAGTAGAAGTGATGCAAGGAGGGAAGAGTATATGGAGAAAAAGAGAGAGGTTAAGAGAGTGGTGAAGCAATGTAAAAAGAGAGCAAATGAGAGAGTGGGTGAGATGTTATCAACAAATTTTGTTGAAAATAAGAAAAAGTTTTGGAGTGAGATTAACAAGTTAAGAAAGCCTAGAGAACAAATGGATTTGTCAGTTAAAAATAGGAGAGGAAAGTTATTAAA